CGACCATTTCCACTGCAGACCCCCACATGGATCCTATTGGTACAACACCATCTGGGACATTGATAGGTAGCCCAGATCAGCCACTGGATCCAGCAATGGTCCCAAATGCGGCCTTAATGACAACAGCGATGGGCACCCCTGCGGCCAGTACAAGGAATATGGGTGCTGTGGCGGCTCTTGCCACTGCTGCAGCCAATGGGCACGCTTCTCCAAATGCTTCCTCTGGGGTGCATCCAGCTCATTTCACGTTGCCTATGTTAATGGACCAAGGTCTCCCCGATGATCCTGAATCCGATCCGCCCGTTGTAAAAAAAAAGCGTAAACAGACAGCGCGTGTGCAAAGTGAAGACTATACCACTGATCCCACAACTGAAGATGAGACAGTCAAACGGTGCAAGGGTCCACAAAAGACGACCAGAAATTTGGCATTGGAAGATGCCATGGCCAGAAATTCAGGGGAAGACGCCGTAGACGGCGCCGCGCCAATCCTGGCTCAAAAGGCTCGCCCCAAACCCACACTAGTGGCTACCACTATTTATGATTAATCTATGACAACTGTCCAAGAGCCATTGTGTATAATGCCACAGGTTTGATGAAAGGCATCTCATTAGGATTGCCCATCTATTTCATTCAATTTGTCACTGGAATCTTTCATAAGTTATAGGCAAGGATAATGAGATATCATGGGGATATTTCATTAGGCTCTTTGGCCCTTTCATTATCATTTCTGAGACTTTTCATTAGGATATTTCATTAGGCTCCTGCGCTTTTTCATTACCATTTCATAGAATTTTTATTAGGATATTTCATTAGGCTCCTGTGCTTTTTCATTACCATTTCAAAGGAATTCTCATTAGGATATTTCATTAGGCTCCTGCGCTTTTTCATTATCATTTCTTAGAATTTTCATTAGGATATTTCATTAGGCTCCTGCGCTTTTTCATTATCATTTCTTAGAATTTTCATTAGGATATTTCATTAGGCTCCTTCGCTTTTTCATTACCATTTCTTAGAATTTTCATTAGGATATTTCATTAGGCTCCTGCGCTTTTTCATTACCATTTCTTAGAATTTTCATTAGGATATTTCATTAGGCTGCTTCGCTTTTTCATTACCATTTCATAGAATTTTCATTAGGATATTTCATTAGGCTCCTGCGCTTTTTCATTACCATTTCTTAGAATTTTCATTAGGATATTTCATTAGGCTCCTGCGCTTTTTCATTACCATTTCTTAGAATTCTCATTAGGATATTTCATTAGGCTCCTGCGCTTTTTCATTATCATTTCTTAGAATTTTCATTAGGATATTTCATTAGGCTCCTGCGCTTTTTCATTACGATTTTTTATATTTCTCATTAG